TGTGCTGTATCTGCTCTACAGGTGCCGACTCCCAAGCCCAAAGCACTGTAGTGCTCAGCTGTGCCTCAGCAAAGTTTGTTGGTGTGCCTGCAGTGCTATACTAATTCAGCTGCCATTTTCCATTCAGAAACCAGCAAGCACAGAGGTGTCCTATTTCAGCACAAGGTCATGTTATAGACATACCCTGTGATACTCCTTACCTCCAGCATCATGTGTGGCACCTGGAATATATTTCCAGGTATAATGCAGTGTGATGGATGGTGTACAGATACTCAAGGTAAGGCAGGCATGAGGAGCTGTGTCACTGCAGTGCTCCACACAGGCTAATATACTTGGCTAGGAAGGGCATATTAGCATAGGTGGAGTGTGAGTTATTTGAACTAACTCAGTGGTTTTGACACAGCTCTCCATTAGACTTAGCATGGAGATGAATTCCAGGAAGGCAAGTAAAACAGACCACGTGGATGCAAGGGAGAATCATAGAATCAAAGAAGCGGAAGGAACCTGCAAGATTGATTCTGGTCCCCTGCCACGGGCAGGAAGTTATTGGGCTCAAACGAGCTCAACAAGGTGCTTGTCCAGTTTCATCTTGAACACCTCCAAGGATGGTGACTGCACCACACTCTCAACAGATGTGGTGGTCGCTATCCTTGGAGGTGTTCAAGATGAGACTAGACAAGCATCTTGTTGAGCTCGTTTAAGCCCAATAACTTCCTGCCTGTGGCAGGGGACCGGACTGGACGATCTTGCAGGTCCCTTCCGGTCCTTTGATTCTATGATTCTCCCCTACATTCACCTGGTCTGCTTTACTTGCTCCTACATCTGTATACCAACACGGCCATACCCCATGAGTTCTGTGGTCTGGGCAAAACTCTCCTGCTGTATGGGATGCGAATCTTACTGATCTGGGTTGTCCCAGCACCTGTCTTCTCAGGCTGGGTGGTGCAGGGCTGCTGTGGCAAAGACTGGTTGGGGCATTATTTTAACACCCACTTTAAATCAGCGCCTGAGGCTGCTGCCCCACTTGCCTTTAGTTATACTACTGGTTACCAAACCCTATAAGGAATGGTATTTGTAGTTAGGGGAGGTTGTAGTGCTTTCAAATCAATGAAGGCACCTCCAATAGAGTGGGGTGGCATTGTGAGAGCTCAGTAAAATAGTCTCCTGCCATCAATGTTGCCCAAGCCTTTCCCTCTTTTCAATGTTATACCAACTCTGGTCCTACAAAAGGAGATGGGAAGGGCTGCTGTTTGGAAGCACACAACAGCAGTTATGCTTTACATGTTACATGTACAGAAGCCTGTATTGATACAAGTGAGATATATTGTCCCAGTTTGAACCCTGGCTGAAGCAAGGTTTGTCCATGCCCTCACTCTCCCACCCCCAAGACAGCCAGTATTCACTTTGGCTCTTAACATTAGGCTAGAACAGGGGTAGGCAATATTTTTTGGCTGGAGTGCTGAAAAAACCACAATGTCTACTTTGGAAGGTGCTGGAGTGCTGACATGCTGGAGCCCGGAGCAGCTATTTGCAACTTTCTGGCTGTAGCCAGCCCACAGAGCTCAGTCTGCTTGCAGCAGGGCTTGCAGCCAACCAGCCGCCAGCTGGGAGCAACCTGGGCTCCATGGTTGGCAGCAGCTGCTTAGAGCCCGGGCTGGCGGTGGTGTGCCGAGCAAAATGGCCCCGCGTGCTATGCTTGGCATGTGCACAGGGAGTTGCTGACCCCTGGGCTAAAACAGGATAGAATTTAGCTATGTATTTTAAGCACTTCTGAATTTTTTGTAACCACATTTCAGTGTTTTCACTTCCCTGCTTTACCTGTGAAAAGCTGAAGGGTGTTTTGATGTTTTAGGAATTTCTAAAGATTGTAAGAAAGAGAGTTGGTCTCAAAATTTTTAAGAACTGGTTAAACAAATGCTTGTCTAAGGTGGTTTAGAGAGGGGTTATCCTAGCTATGCTTGGGGGATATAGTTGAGGATGGCCCTGCTTTGAGCAGGGGGTTGGAATAGGTGGCCTGAGGGCCCTTCCAATCCTAATGTTCTATAATTGTATGAGCCTGCCTTCAGCAGGCGGTTGGCCTAGATAATTTCCTGAGGTGCCATCCAGTCCTGCTTTCCTACTAGCAATCTGTTTGTCTATCAGAATGAATCACTGTATGCCTTTTTAAAAGATACATGGTGGCATATGCATTCCTAATTTTGTGCTTTGTTGAAATCTAGTAATAAAAAACTTTACTGCTAATCTGTGACTGTTTGTTTTTACATAGTCAGTATTTTAAATTTGTATTCTTCTGTAACAAACAAGATTATTTTTATTTCACTATATTTTAATGAATATGAGCACTTTCTTTTCACAATTAAAAGAAAATAACTTTCCTGTTTTAAGACTAATGTATGTAACCTAGTGACACAAAGTGCAGGTGAGACTACTGTAGCACAAAGAAAATGACTACTTTTAACTTCTTTTTCCCCTCAGAGTCAGGCTTATATCCTACTAGCATATTCTCTGCTGGCAACTGAAATTCAGCAACACGTTTCAGCCACATATTCATTAACTTCAGAAGAACCAGTGGTAACACATCAGTTGTCACATTCATCCCAAAACTGAATCACCTTTGGGGTTCACTGTCTGGCATACATGGATGTCCTAATTAGATTTACTCCTCTGGTGTTTAGTCTCTGTTCGTAGCTAGTGTGGAGCTGGGTTCAGTTTGGTGATTTTCATTATCTCTGTGTATTATATTTGATATAAGTGTAGTTAACAGTTTCATTATGAAACTGGAAGATAATCATGTGAAGTATTTAAGTGCACACCGAAAGCATGGTATGCCTGTGATGGGGGCAGTCCACTTCACAATAGAGAGGCAACTGAGAATAATGGCCCTTTAGGCTCCAGGTGTCTCGGGGAGCCCAAGGATACAGGTTTTAGCCATGTTGGTTTACAGGCAAAATATTCCGAACTCTTAGTAGAGGTGATATTTTTTTATTAGACCAACTAAATAGTTGCAAAATATATATATTTGCACGCTTTCAGGCTCAGGAAGACCAAAACTTTTTGGAGGGTTCTAGTGACCAGGAACATTAGAATAATGCTGATTGTGGGGGGTGGAGAGGTGGCTGGCTGTGTCCTTGTCACAGGTTAGCTAAGATAGAATCAGTGTCTGTGAATCTCAGGTTTTGGGGGTTCAATGACCTGTTGCCTGGACTGGTAGAGTCAGCAGAAAGGCTGATTTAAGAACTGTGGCAGGTCTCTCAGAAGGGGCTAAGCTGTAGCCAGATGAGGATAAGAAGCTTATTTTGCTTTTTTAATTCTTTCATCCTATGTAGTAAAATCCTTTTGTGGTTTGTTTCCTGATTGCCTGTGGAAAGGGTGATTTCTGGCAAGTGATATTTCAGGCTAGCATCTTCTATGGAGAGAGGGACCTATAATTTCTTCTCAACCGAGAAATGGGAAGAGGGCACCTAGAGCTGGCAGATTCCTTTGTTGTCTGCAAGGTCTGATATGCAAGGACAGCAGAGCTGAGGCTTTCTGGAGTAGGGAGCTCTCTCAGGGCAATTTTGGTCTGTTCCTTAGGGAAGTGGCAGCACCATGGCAAGTTTCTCCCATGGATGAGTTTGTAACACTTATTACATCACTTTCCCTTTCTACCATAAATTGTATGGAAATATTGACCCAGAATTCTTGTTAGGTCTGCTTTACAGTTATAGCTAGCTCTTTTAATTCAGTTTTTTTTTCATTCAGCTGGGATGACATGATACCAGATGTTGCTCGCTGACAACGCTGCTAACATTGATCGGATAAAACCAAATTGTACAAAAACATATTTACAAACATTTGTATTTAATGATGAACAAAACACATTAAAGTTACTAAATATAATGAAGAAGTTTCCATACAAACAACCATATTTACATAGGGCAGAAGTAACTGATTAATTTTAAATGTTTGTTGTGCATTCACATTTTCTTTCTTCAGCATTCAGATTTCTGGCTGCATTATGTTCACCAAGGATAAACTTAACTGAGATTTAAAGGTGCACACAACCTTGCAAAGAACACATAATAAATGAATTGTCTAGCACTGCCCAGAATAAGCACTAATCTACTTTACTATTCACTTCCCTGTGAAGCTGAGTTTTGTGAGTCTGTTCCATGCTTTATGCTGAAAAATGAAAGGTCAGTTTTACTTTAAGGAAAGCTGTAAGCAGTTGTTTGGGTACCTGTTCCTAAAGTCAAGTACTGTTCATTTGAAGCCTCCATGTATCCACAGTCGTATGAAAGTGAGTTTATGCTCTGAACGTAGGCAGCTCCATTTAAAGATTTTCAGAAATTCTATGCCAAAACTTTCTAGAGCTTTTGGGGCTTGTGCTCAGAAGTCTAAGACTGCAATTGCAGAGATGGTGCTGGTCAGTCTTTAATTGATTAGAACTGTGGTGAGAACCTCATAAATCCTGCCTGCACCTAAGTTACACAGCACCAATAATACTGGTAACTTGTAATTCCTATTAGATAGTGAATTCAATGATTAGCTTCCTTTTAAAAAATGTCCTTTTAAGAAAAAGGAGCTTAAAAATGGCATTTCTTATTCAGAAACAAACAATCGAAAGAAGTCAGGGGCCAGCAACCTTTTACAGTCGTGGGTCAAGAACAACATGGCTCTGGTCTGACATGAGCGGGGTGATTTAAACAATGGGCCTTTCCCCATGTCCGCCACTTCTACCAGCCTCCTGTTCCCGTTGTGGTGCTGATGTAGCTGGAAGTTGCCTGGCCCCAGTGTGCACACAAGTATAGGAAGGCAAAGCCCTCCAGCTCTGTGGGCCATATCCAGTGGCTCCTCAGGTCAGATATGGCCTGTGGGCTGTATGTTGCTGACCCCTAGTCTAAATTCCTCTATATGCCTTTCTACCTGCTTGATTTGAATGAATCATGGGAATTCTTTTAAACATGGCAGTGACTTTTCCATATTTTTCCAGAATTCTTTTTATTAGAGAAAATTTAGTCATGATCTGCAGAACTGTCTCCGGGGCAGTTTGAAGACAAGTCTTCTGAATCTAAAATGCAAAACGGAAAAAGGTATTTCAATAATTGGAAGAAAAGAAGTATAACCTGAATATTAAAAAAAGAAGAAAACAGAGTTTAGTTAGGTTAGAACATCACCTTTCTTCTCAATTAGTAGTACAAACCAATTCATTCCAGAAGTTTTGACTTGCATGTGAATTCTGATCATGTTCTTTCAGTTGAGGCTTTTCTAACTGGTGGCCCACAAGGGGTTAATTTGTGGCTCCTGCCTAGCTGCTGCTCCAGTCTCCAGGTTCTCTTCCCTCTTCTAGCTGTTGCTTCCTGCCTCCACCCTGAAAGTGGGGCAGTGCAGCACATTGCTTGGGAGGTCAGGGTTGGGTAGAGGGGATCATGCTCCTGCAGTTCAGCAGTTGTGGGGGAGAAGGGTACCCACAGAGGCATGCAGTGTGGTGGGGATGTAGGGGGAGCACCCACACAGTATTCTGCCGAGTGGCCTGTGCCATGTTTGGTGCAGCCCACACAGTGTGTGGCTCCTGTTTGTGTGGCCTCAGGGCTTAAAAGTTGGATAGCCCTGCATTAAATAAGGGAAAAAAGCAGGTCTTAACAGCATTCCTTGTCTTGCTTGCTGACATAGGAACCTGAAACACAAACTCCAATACTTCTAGTTGCAGAAAAGCTTAACCATTAGGCTATTATTAAAATAATTCCAGATAATATTCTAAATACTTCAAGCAAATTTTGATACTATCCCATTAACATTTATTAAAGGAACCAAATATTCTATTCTAAGCACAATTTCAGACATTTGTATAAACTTTCCCAATACATTTTCCCCCCACTTTCTAAGCTGGAATTCTGCTAGCTAGAGTGTTGTCCTGAGGGAGCTTCTTCAGCTTTAGGCACACAACTCCTTCAGCAACAGCATCATTTTTAAAGCTGCCCTACTTGCTATACAAACATTAGCCTGCAGGAATGTCTGAAAACATTTTGCCCAAAGCTAGATGAGATGGCACATGCCTCCATACAGTGACGTAAATCAAGCCCACAATCACCAGACAAAAAAAAGCAGTATGACATTGATGTAGCTTCATCTGAACTTCTAGATCTTCCTCCGGAAGATTATGCTGATCTGCAAGTTTCCATTTTGCTTCCTCAGGTCAATCTCTTTCTTTCATAGCATAATCTGACTTTTCTCGTAGCAGCCACTTAACCCTCTTCTACAGAGCACAGATGGAAATACAAGGGAATCCAGCAGCCTGCTGAGTGCACCTGACTCTGCCTCGATAGAACAGCAATCACTTTTCATAACTATCTACCAGTTGAGTGGTTTAAGAGGTGCTTATTCAAGGCTCCCTGGACCATACAATCATTGCAACTTGTCTAGTCCATGTTTATTTGAAGGCTCTGTTCTTAAGCATAACATCATTAGACCAGCAGCTGCTACTTTAAGGGTGCATCCAGATGAGTGCACATGTGGTATGTGGCACCACACATGCAGGTGTTTCCCCACGCTGCTGATTTGCACCGTGGGCATTTTATGACTCCGGGAGATCTTGGTGTCAAACCCCACCCCTCCCAAAAAAAAACCGTGCCAGAAAAGAGCAGGGTGAAGCATGTGGCAGCAGTGTGCATCACCCAAAACTGGAGCCTGGCCAGCTGGCACCATGTTCAGGCTGCCAGCCAGGGTCCCTGCTGCCAGATTGCTGCCACTGGAGCCCCGGGAGGCCCCCAGGACCCCATGTAAGGCTGTGGCTGCCAGGCCCTAGGTGCTGGCCCCAGCCTCCCCTACCTCATTTAGGGCAACTTGCTGCGCACCAGGGCACATGTGCATAGCCTCCCCACCCCCCATGTGCAGATCTAGGGGCACATACCCCCCATGCCCTCCCAGGGTGCATGTAGCAGTGGGAGCCAACCCCTCCCTGCACCTCTTGGACAAATCTTGTGGCTCACCCTGGCTGAGCAGTACCTGCCCCTGCCCTACTCCCTCCCTCACTGTGGGGTCTCTATCTGCCCCACCCCCCTTTAAAAACAAGGACAAAATATAAAGGGGTTCATGAACTGAAACTTTGAGACAGAAGGGGTACACTTGTTAAAAAAGGTTGAAAACCCCTGTAACAGCTGACTGAATCAGCTTTACGTAAAAGCCCCCAAAACCCCTGCTGAAGTTCCCAATCTTTACAGACACTGCCAAGCTAGGTAGAAGTAACACACTGCTTCTTTCAGTAAAGGGCGGGGGGGAGGTGAAGGTGGGGAATGAGTTGTTTTTAACATCTGCAAGTGGCTTGGTGGGTGTTTGAGCCCTGGAGTACCCAGAGTCAGTGCCAGGACTGCTATTGTTACACAAGCAATTGTTATTATACAGTAATAACTGCTGAAGAGCTCCAACTCTGCTGAGTACTGGGGAATACTTTTACCTCTCACTTGGTTGGTACCAATTGCCCATGCTTATTTTCAAACCAGCTAAAGTGGAAAAGAAATTGCATTGTTGGCATATGTAGGCATGATGAGAAACGTTTTCTAGCAAGATGTTGCCAAGCTGGGACAAAAACGGAGTAAGGAATGCAGAATATGGTTTCAGAAACATAACCAAAGGAAAATCATTTAAATATAAGAAAGATTTACTCTTACCCTCATAGGCTGTTCCACACCAGATGCAATATAAATGTTCCTCTCTTAAATAGGCTGTTAGGATTTGTAGCTTTTCTGATGCCTATTGATACACAGAGAAGTAAAAAAGCTTGAGAAGGTTTTACATGGCACACTTTTGAACTTTTGTCCCTTCTTAGCTTTTCTGTGCTAAAACTGAGCTGACTAGGAGATCACAAGGTAATTTAGCACACTGAAAACAGAGATCCCTAAATGCAACTTATGGAACATTTGGTTGGTCAAATGATGGTGGTTTTCCTCATTTCCAACTAAAGAATATTTAAAAGACAGCCAAAATACATTATCCAGCTGAATTATTTTAATGGAATAGTGATTTTTAGTGGGTTTTTTCATACCTTGTCTCCTCTGCAAATTGAATCAAGACTGACAACATTAGTGGAGTCTAGGGCATGATGCTCATCATTTTCAAAAACAACCGTGATTTTTCTATGCCCAATTTGAGATGCTTCTGAGCAAACTCGATGCTTCTAAGAAACAGGCCCTTCTAAGGTGTTAAGCTGAATACCTGAAAATAAGACACCCCAAACTATTGCTATTTTCTTTTGAAAATCGTAACCAAAATAATAACGTGGCTGGTGTTTAATTTCTAATATGCTCTTCTTAACAAATCAGCACACTTGTGCTTTGTATTCCTTCTAACAGTACTATGAGAACTCTTTGCAAGATACCACTTACTAGTTTTGAAAATACATATGTATGTAAATATTTCACAAAGAAAAATAGCTACATATTAGCTTTAGTGTCAGAACTCACACTTAAGTCTGAACTTTTATATTCATCCTCATCCTCCTTCTTCTCTTCATCTTTTTCTTCCTCTGGTTCTGATTCCATCCAGTACCAAATCTCTTTGGGCATTTTAATGTCCTTAAAAATAAAACAAAGATTAAAAGAAAAAAAACATCTCTCAAAAGGGTTTCCTAGTAGATGTAATCATTTTGATGCAAGTAATAGCTAAGCCAAGTAACATTTATAACAAGGCTTATAAAAATATAATTACACTAGAAGACTTGGTGTAAAACTGCTAAAACGTAGAATACAATGGACCACAGGTAGGCTCGGTTGTGGGTTTAATGCTTTTTTAAAGCAAATTCAAAAGGGATGTTAACTTAACTTTTGATCGGATAAAGTGTCAGACTATACCACCAACCATTCTCTTCTGTTATCAGTTCTCTTTATTGAAAATATCCACTTCCAGCAGGTAAACAACTCTTTTTAACACTTTGATATTTAAACACCTAGAGTTTATTGAATCCAATTATCATGCTATTTCTCCCTCAACTAGGATGGCGAGAGCAGCCTTGACTGAGGCAACTACCTGCCTCACCCTTATAGCCAGACAACTATTAGGAGGAAGGCAAACTGCAAATGATCAATTAACCCAAGGATGTACAACTTCTGTTATGTAAGCTATAACAGTCAGTGGGACACAGGGCTGGAGTGTAAGGATATGTACTTCCGAGCCCAAACACATGGCCAACCACTGCCGCCACCTCAGTCAAGCAACATTCAATATCATGTCATAATTAATGACTGAAATATCTCTCTCCATAAAGACTGACTACAATACAGCCAACTTTAACCTACAAATCTTCCTTCTACCCCCAAAACAGTTAATCAGCCTTACCTTTTGAGAGTCTAATTGCTGACAGGCCTTCTGGCTTTTTCTAAGGTCCCCTTCTATCTTACGTTCCTCTTGTTTGTTTTTGAATCTTACTCTATTAAAAATGTAGATCACACATAGACGATTTTTTTTTTATTTGTACTGGTTTCCTACATCAGTAACTTAGTGTCTTGGTATATGCAGACAATTCTCTGAAAGAGGATCAAAGCAAACTGTCCTAAACAGGGCCATAATAGTGTGGATATGTGTGTTTGTACATGCATTTGTGTTTCATAAATCATTGTGAAATAGTCTTTTAAAAGGCAGACTTCTGATTTAAGTACCAGTTTCTAAGAAAAGTCTGTATTTGCATTTATTAATCTAGGCACTGGCATTACTGGTCATAATAGTATGTGGTGCTGTAAAGAGAATATACATCTTTTAATTCTGATGCATCTGAACCAGTCTCTGTTCATTCTTTAGAAATGATTGGGAATTCCTGTACAGTTCAAATCCCAGCACACATTCGCTTGCACAAATGTTATTCAGAATTGACAACACATTTAAAAAACGATGGTCAAATCTGGGAGAATGCCTGTAACATGCTTATGAGAATGAAACCTGGATCCTATTATTATTACCTAAATATCTGTACAAGAAAACATGGCCAGGATTTTGTTTTTACCTAAACTGATCTGCAGCCTGTTCATCTGCTTGTTTTTTCATATGAATTTTCCGTCTATAGTTTTCTAGCTTTTCTTCAGCTTTCCGCTTTTTTTGTTCTTCATGGCCAAGCCCACTTCTGCCTATTCAAGTTCAAAATACCAGTGTGAGCAGTTCGAAAGCTTTGACCTCCAACAAAGGAAAAAAGATAAACGCCACATACCTGTTTTAATATTCAGTGGAATCGGCTCAACGATGCCTTTTCCTGTGTGGGGAAAAAGAGCAAAGACTTTAATGCAGCTAGGTCCCTCACCAAACCATAGATGAAGCATATCCAAGTAGACAAACTTTAGACATCAAACAATATTTCTGATCTTTTGGAAATTGATAAATTCAACATCAAGCTATATTTAGTTTTTCTGACAATAACCAAGTTGGATCACATGTGCCTTACCTTCCTCTGTTGTATTCCTGTCGTATAGATGTAGGCTGTTTACAGGATGCTGTCCAGTTCATCAAGAGTGGCATTTATTTGATGCATCACCCTTTTTGCAGTTAACAATAACAATATACCATTCTTCTGCAGCAGCTTTCATATGAGAATATCAGGATGCTTTACATTTCCCTAACCCGCTGCAAAATGTTACTGTGGAGTGCAAAGAATCCAGAAGGATCTAAACTTATAGAGCAATGGATCCTCATCCAGAAGTGTTACAGCATTGTTAATCTTAATTGCCCTTCTTGCCTCATTGTGTCTCAGTGCAGGAAGAAGGGGAATGGACACAAACTGCTTTCCAGATTCAATATGCAAGTTGGTATATATTGGGACTTTGACTCTTTAACCTCTGGCTGTACTTAAAAGTTCCCAGTTTGGAAATAACAACAAATTAAAGAGACTGGGCCCTGTCACGAGTGGTAAAATTCCTTTGAATCACTGGGCACATCTGAAATATCAGGCAGAAGCAAGAACAGTGTCTTCCTCCTTCAGATCCCCCAATATCGCTCACACTTTTGCATTTAAAATTATGTATATGCATCTACAATAGGGGTGTCAAACATATGGCTGAGCTCAAGTCAGCCTGTGGAACTGGTCCATCTGACCAGGAAGGCTAGTAGAAGTAGATGGGCAAAGCCTACTACAGAATTTGGGGTCCCTGAATCCTGAGGGACATGGCAATCGGCGGTAAGTCCTCGGCCCTGGCCCTGACGCAGCTGCCCCTGCAGACCTGGTCTAAGAGGAACCCATGCAGTCTGGATCCAGCTGGGGGCAAGTTTGACATCCCTGGTCCATAAAGTGCAAAGTCATGCCAGGTAGGAACATCCAAGCTAGATCTGCACGTGCAGGAACCGGAAGCAATATGGCTTTGGAAGAATGACACTACATATAGTTAATACACTTAGCTTCTCAATAGAGCTATTTAGCCCAGGTAGAGTATGCTAACATGGCTGTACTGTTTCCAGATCCACAGCTTGAGCATGCAGAGCTAGCCCACATATATCTGGCATAGCTTTACACCTTGCAGAGCTACTCTAACAATTCTTTAAGGCTTGCCCTTGCCTAGCTGCTGTTTCTTCTTTTGCAGGGCTAAGGAAGCAGTTCAGGACTGCTGCAATAAATAGCTGTTTTTTTTCTTAGAGAGCTATTTATTGAGTTCACCCAGAGATCAGTGGAGCAGATCATGTTATCCTTTGAAACTCACATTTTGAAAACTTGGCGCACACACACAAAAGGTCCCAAGTGGACAAACTTACCAGTTTTGCCAAGGGCCTGGCCAGTTTTGTACCCCATCTTTTGAAGCAGAGCAAAGCCTTTGTTTTCATTTCCTAATGCACTTTGCAACACAGTGTCACGTCTCTCTTTTTCTTCTTCTTTTATACTCTTCTGTCTGTTCTTCTCATTAGCTTCTTTCTGCCTTTCTTCTTTCTGAATAGTTTCCTTCACACGCCTCACCATTGGCAATCCTGGCCTTACATCCTGTCTATACGGAACAACAAAAATATTGTTTATTGTTACTGAGGAACAGAAAACATGTCATAACAGCATAAACCAGTAAATCAAGACAGTGAGAATATTAAACAAGCAACTTCTGGTGGCTGATACAGGTCCCTGTTAAATACTGGCATAGCAGGTTGGCCCTCTCTATTCTAACTCTAGTGATAAAACAGCCTCTGCAAGGACAGAAAATTTAGGAACAGAGAGGCAACAAGAACACAGAACAAAAACCTAAGCTGAGAAACAAATAACCTGTTTATACTTATCCAGATTTTTTAAGTCACTCCACTTCCTTTTTAAATTCCTACTTACGATTACTGTATCTTTCAGGGCAAACCTTCTCATTTTTGCTTTTTGTGAGAAGAATCTGGGCTGCTTGAGGCATGTAAAAACCTTTTTTAAGTTTCTGACAGTAACGATTCACCAGTCTCTAAGCTGTTAAGCTGGGAACCCAAGAACAGACCCACCTAGTTAGCTCAAGACTTTTAGAAGTTTGGGCCTAAATTCATTTTGGGCAAAAAATATTGCTTGTGCCTTGTGTGAAGATTTGACCCTTAGACAGTTACCTGGTTGCTTTAGGTTGTTCCCTAACATTACAGAAAAAAGCAGTATGGCTACTGGATGCAGAGACATACTTACTTCGTATTAATGAAAATATCGGACATGTAGTCATCTTCTTCCTCTTCTCCCATGTTCAATATCTTTGCCCTGCTTAGATCCTCCTACCTATATATAATGAAAATGTGTTAATGACCCATTTTTCTTTTGCAAAGGAAGTAAGGAGCCTGCCTTGGATTAAAAAACCCGCACTGCTCTACATCTGCTGCATGTAGCACTAGACCAGTGCCAAAAATACTGTGCGACTGAGACACTAACAACAATTCCACAATACTTGATGGATTATCCAGCCTACACATTATTTATGGTTTTAACTGCCTCTCACAACCTAGCTCAGTAGTGCTCAGCCTCCAGCCCACTGAGCCTGGGCTCCTCAAGTGAATCTGGGGGAATGGTGGCAACATTAACTGCTGCTGCCAAATTTCTGGACCTGTTTAGAGCCCCACGGGGCAGACTCATAGAGAATGAGGGTTGGAAAGCACCTCATAAGGTCCTGTCTACAGTGCACTTTAATGTGCATTAGCCTATTTTAACGCAGTTTAAAGCACCACAAAAAACCCCATGCTCTTTAGCTAATGTGCATTAAAATAGGCTACTGCGCATCTTTCTAGTACCTCACAATGGAGGGCATTTTTACGTATATAAGTGCTGCAGCAGTGTGGAGCACTTTGAAAAGCATCCAGCGCCGCATCACTTTCAGTTGTACAAGCAGCAAAATAAGCATCAGCGCTACGAGAATGGCAGTGGTGCGCTTTTGAACTAAAACACATATAAAGCACTTTACTTGAAAAGCACACCGCCACCATTTTCTGTGCGCATTTTGCCACTTGCGCAAGTGCATCTGGCACAGCGCACGTCAGGGCGCAAGCAGAGTGAACTCAATTCATTGAGTCTGCTCCAGCCTGTCGTGGGATGAAAAGGTATATATGCCCAGAGGTACTAGATTTAACACGCATTACCTAAAGCGCATTCATGAACGTGTAGATGCGCCAATCCAGGCCAACCCCCTGCTCCAAGCCGGACCATCCCCAGGGACAGGCGGCGCCACCTCCCGGGGCGCGTGTCCCGGCCCGGCCCAGCCCAGCCGTGCGGGAGGCGACCTGCGGCCCGCGGGGTAGCCCCAGCGGTGTTTGGTACTACCCTCAGCTACCTGCCCACGATCTCACCCAACCTGCCGCAGGCCCAGCTAGCGCATGCCCAGCACTGGAACCAACCCGGAAGGAACCTTCGCAGGAGCCGCCCCTTCCCCTAGAACAGCCCCGCGCCCCTCACCCGCGTGCGGCGGCCGTCTGCGCCTGCGCAGTCCTCCCCCCTTCAGTTGCCCGGAAAGAGCTAGTGCGCCTGCGCACCCACTTGGCACTTCCACTCCGGTCCTTCCTGCAGCTGGTTTGGGGGTCGGGTTTGGCGGTGAGTGCGCGCTAAGGGGCCGGGGGGCTTGCCATAGCACCCCCCACGAAGAGCCGGGGGGAGGGGGTGACATGACGCAGTCGGGTGGGGCGGGGCCGTCCCGCAGGCGCAGCCTTGTTCTGATTTGGACTTCAGCGCCGCGGAATGCTCGGGGGGGATGGGGGGACACTGGACGCAGCGCTTCTCCCGGGGCAGCGCGTGCACACAGCGCCTTTCTAATCCGGGCTAGCACGGGGGTGATGCGCTCATTGCTCTCCCCTCCCAGCCTGGTAGGGCGTATCCCGGGACAGTGGCTCCATGCTCTATCCCGAGATAAAGCAGCTTATCCCGTTAGAGCCCACAGAGCTGCGATGTCCTGCCTCAGGCGAGTGGTTCTGCACTGACAGCTCTGGAGAAGGACAAGTGGTTGGCAGGGTCATCCAGGGGTGCCCTCTTGCCTGGTGCAGCCGCTCCTAGCTCTCTGGAGCCGAGCAAGCGCTCTGTGATGGGCCCGCGGCTCAGAAGCGTGAGTGAAAGAGCCGGGTTCGGCCTTTCCCGGGGGTACCTCGAGGCCAACAGGGTTTAGCCTGGCTGTGCTAGGTACTTACTGCCAGTTGCCTCAGAGGGTCGTCGGATACTCCCGGGTTTTGGCTGACTGGGTTTCGCTGCATCGTGGATGTCGGACTCAGCTGAGGCCCTGGCTGACAATGGTTTGAGTTGTTGCACACCTTGGCGGGGGCAGTGCCAGTAGCAGCGGAGCAGGCAGCCACTGAGCAACTGAGTATTGCACAGTCCTCGCTGGCCCTCAAGGCCCCAGAGTCCATGGCAGGCCCTAGCCCCAGCTTACTGTACCCATTAGTAGCTGGGAGTAGCTCCATGCGTGGGGTCTGTCCTGTCAGGCTGTGTGTTTGACACCCCTGCTCTGCATTGGGGATGGTCCTGCTTGGAGCAGGGGGTTAGACTAGATGATCTCCTGAGGCCCCTTCCAAGCCTAATTTTCTGTGATTCTGTGATGCATTAATGATTTTGCCTATTTTCCAGTTGTAGGTACTTTGCCCAGAATGTCCATAGACAAAGCCAGAGCCAGCACCATTTCTAATTGAATTCAATGGAAACTTACCCTTTGTCTTCTCTGAATGCTGCATCAGGTTTCTGATACTTGTCCATGACTTTCTGGTTTGCCTGCCTACATGTCTTAATATATTGTTTTTTATGTGTAGAATTGGGGCCTACACATTATAATACCATTTAGTTCATTGCTGTCCTGTTTGAAGGCAGGACTGGGGTCCATGAAACACGAAGCTTGGAGGGACCTTTCATTGTTTCATAGTTTCTAGTGTCGGAAGGGACCTGAGTAGATCATCTAGTCCGACCCCCTGCCATGGCAGGAAAGAGTACTGGGGTCAAACGACCCCAGCAAGGTGTACATCTATCCTCCTCTTAAAGACCCCCAGGGTAGGAGCCAGCACCATTTCTTTTGGAAGTTGGTTCCAGATCCTAGCTGCCCTGACTGTGAAGTAGCGCCTCCTGATATCTAGCCGAAATCTACCCTCTGCCAGCTTGTGACCGTTATTCCTGGTCACTCCTGGCAGTGCTCGGGGGAACGGGGACCCCCCCAGTGCCCACTGGTCCCCCCCGACCAGTCTGTAACAGGCCACTAGATCCCCCCTCAGCCCTCTCCCGTGGAAGCCAAACAGGTTCAGGTCTTGTAGCCTCTCCCCATAAGGCCTGCCGTGCTGCCCCCTGACCACGCGAGTGGCCCTTCCCTGTACCCCCTCCATGCTGTCCACATCCCTCTTGAAGTGCGGTGCCCAGAACTGGATGCGGTACTCCACCTGCGGCCTGACCAATGCTGCATAGAGGGGGAGGATCACCTCCTTGGACCCCCCCCAAGATGCATCTGTAGATACATGACAAGGTACGGTTGGCTCTCCGGACTGCATCCCCACACTGCCGGCGCATGTTGGGGTGGGGGTCGGGGGGGGGTCCAAGATCCTTTTCCGCCTCTGTACTGACAAGAATGGAGTTCCCCAACCTGCAGGCACGGTGCTGGTTGTTCCTCCCCAGGTGTACCACCCTGCACCCGTCGGTGCTGAATCCCATCCCATTCCCATCCGCCCACCCCTGCAACCTGTCCAGGTCCGACCGCAGCCTATTCCTCCCCTCCAGCGTGCCCACATCCCCCCACATCTCAGTGTCATCAGCAAACGTGAACAGGGTGCTTTTTACCCCCTCGTCCAAGTCACTGATGAAGATGTTGAACAGTGCAAGCCTGAGGACCGAACCCTGTGGAACCCCACTGCCCACATCCCTCCAGGTCGAAAATGACCCATCCACCACCACTGTCTGGGTGCGGCCTGCCAGCCAGTTGGCGACCCAGTTGACTGTGTGGGTGTTGACACCACAGTCCCCTAGTTTCTCAATGAGAACAAGGTGAGAGACAGCGTCGAAGGCCCCCCAAAAGTCCAGGAAGGCCACGTTCACTGCTACCCCTGCTTGGTGATCTGATCACAGAAGGCCACCAGGTTGGTCCAACAGGACCTGCCACTAATGAACCCATGTTGGTTGCCCCCAGGCATGATCTCCCCCGCTGGTGCCTCGCAGACATGGACCAGAACAATTCTCTCAAAAAGCCCTCCCAGGATTGAGGCAAGACTAACTGGCCCATAGCCTCCCGGGTCCTCCTCCTTCCCCCCCCCGAAGATGGGAACCATGCTGGCCCTCCCCCAGTCCTCCTACCTTTGTATCCCTGTGATGGGCATGACTAAGTTTAAATTCTGTGGGGAGAACAGAGGTTATTGGATCGGTATCGGCTGATACGGTTGATTAATCATCACCTATCAGTATTGGCCAAGAAAATCTTTATTGGTGTACTCCTAGCAAGAACCTTAGCCCAATTCCTACATTGGGCCGTGAAATCTTGTCTCCCCCAAGAAGCCCTGCCCCTATAGCTATGCCAGTATAGCTGTGATAGCAAAGCCCTCTTGTCTAGATGCAGCATATACTGATGCATTTTTCAGCCAGTGTAGCTTCATCATTACCCTAAATGACATAAGCTAACAAAAGCACTCTTCTCTTGACATAACTCTGTCCACTCCTGTGGCTTTGCTGAGATAGGTAAGTTAGTTTTTTTCACACCCCTTAATGGGTGAAGTTGGTAAAACATTGTTGATGTAGCTTGAGTTGGATCAAAGGTATTTTCTCTGTAACATTCTGCCTGCTTAGAAGATCCATGCTCTGCTGGATGCAAGCATGTTGGCTGCTGTTTGCATCACGATTATGTGCACATGCATGGTCTGCAGGCTGCTAGTGAAGCTTTGCCTACCCCAGGTTGCTAGGACCTGGGAAACCTCTGGGAATGTTTCTGCCTCTCTCAGCTTTCATAGAATCATCATAGCATATTAGGGTTGGAGGGGACCTCGGAGGTCATCTAGTCCTCCAATCCCCTGCTCAAAGCAGCACCATCCCCACCTAGATCATCCCAGCCAGGGCTTTGTCAAGCCGGGCCTTAAAAACCTCCAAGGATATAGATTCCACCACCTCGCTAGGTAACCCATTCCAGTGTTTCACCATCCTTCTAGTGAGAGTTTTTCCTAATATCCAGTTTAAACCTCCCTTGCTTTGTCAAGTATGGAATATCTTACCCCATACCAAAGGCAATTCTTGCCTTTGACTTGGGTGGGGGAAATCCTTTTTTCCTTTGCACCCTGGGAATTGCTCACTACTAGTTAGAGGGCTTATGGGAAGAGATTAGAGGATAATCGTTATGACTGCTCATTGCTGTACCTCTTTTTTGCATATTCCTTGGTAGTGCAGTGCCCAATAGATTCTTCAAGGTCTGCCTGGTAACTTAGACACAGTGTGGCTACTGTGCTGTAGACCACTGATTTAATTGCAGAATTAACCTGGACTACCTCAGGATCTCCACAGCAAAGTCCTACACATGAAACTGTGTTCACAGCAGTGCTGTACTTGCCTATGTCCTGGGTTTTGTTTCTGGTGGGATATCATAATAGTTCTTAGCAGTGCTTTGATATGGTTTGTTCTGAATTTATTTGCAGGGTGCACATGCTCTGTCTACTCATGTGGAGCTGCTGTTTGTAGCAGAGATGTGGGGATTTGGGAATACATCTCCCTGGTTTTGAGAGGGGTCTGGCAAATGAATGGAGTTATACTTGGTGAAATGCATGTTTTATAGAATTGTGCCATTCTGGCTCTGTGAAATGCAGTTTCTTGGCTATTTACTTCAGAGAGAGCCCTCAGCCAGAATGTGTAAAGACGAATCCCACCAACCATGCTGGTCCCTAAATTGTGATGGATTGTTCCATACTGTGCTCTTCAGTCTACCCAGTGTCTTGGTGAAGTTAAAGGGATAGCTAAATTCATTCCACAAGCCACAAAGGAGGGGGGAAGGGTCTGTGGATACTGAGACTCCCAATCATGCAGTTAGTCCAATAAAAGATATCACACACAAAAATCTTTTCCTCTCCTGTATTTTCTGGGCCGTCATGGCTACAACATCACTTTGATACTCCTTGTGCTGTCTTTTTGGGAAGATGAGAATAAGGGGGGTTCCTTTATTTGGTCGGTAACTTTCTCTCTGCGTTGCTTTTTTTTTTTTTTTTTTTTTAAACAGGGACTTCAACATCATTCTGGCCAGAAACAAATTCAGATTTCACAGGAATATCTGTATGAATTTCTACTTTTAACATTTAGGGTCCTGATCTCTCAAATACCCATGTTTGTGGCTAATCTTAAACAT